ATGAGCCTCATCTGAACACAAATTATTGGATATGACTAATTGAAATTCGAAAACAATTATTTGTATTCAAACATCTATGAAGTGCATTACAAAATGCTGTACTTTAAATAGCAAAGTTGGTTGGAAGACCTACATAAGAGACCTGTAAAAAGAGGCATTAATTCAGTACAGAACCTGCTGTGGACTACATGAAATTGTCAAAGATTTTTTTTTGTGTGTGAAGGGAAAACAAGGGATTCATTGAATACAGATGCTTTTAAATTTGGTCCAACCTAAAGATCCTGCATCAGCCAATCACATCTTGGTCCTCTTGGTGTGACACTTAGTACACAGAATCCTGCCATCCACAGGATGACCTTGATATTTATCTACTTCAGATGAAAATGGACGAGCACAGTCCTCGCATTGGTAACACTTGATGTGGTAGTTCTTCCCCAGAGCCACCAGTTTCACAGTTTCTTCACTTCCCGGAGCCGGAACAATGGGTTCTTTACAGGTTTCACACTGAGGAGAGAAACGCTGGTGGTAATCCTGTACGCAGTAGGGCTTGTTGTCTTCACCTGCGATAAATGGGAGTCCATCCAGTGTGCAGGAGCAGGTGCTGCACAGGAAGCATCGGACATGGAAGCACTTTCCCATGGCCTTCAGGATACGGTCAGTGATTTTCTCTCCACATTGAGAGCAGGAAGCCAGGGAAGTCACGTAGCAACGTTTACACTCTGGAGAGCCTTCCTTGACATAGAACTGCATGCCCTGCAGGGGGCGATGACAGCTCTTGCAGCAGAAACAGCTGGGGTGGAAGAGTTTGCCCATTGCCTTCAAAGCTGGCTTAGTGCTGGACAGATCCTTGCCACATTTCCCACAAATCTTTGTTGCAGTGGAGGTGGGAACAGGTGCTGGTTTGTCTTTGTTGAAGTTTTTGATCAGTTTCTTTATGTTTGGAGAGACACCACCAGCTGGGACTGGGTCTGGACCAGGAGGTAGCGGCACCGATAAAGGTCTGCTCTTCACCCTCTTTTTGTCAGAGGAGGGAAGTGACGCCTTGCTGTCCTCCTCTGTTTTATCATCAGAGACGCTGATGCCCTCCATCTTCTGCTGAAGCAGTTTCACATCTTTCTCTCGATTCTGAAATCTCTGCTTGAGTTGTTGTCGCATCACCTCAAACTCTGGCTTCTCTGTCCTTTCTGCTGCATTTAGATCTCTTTTATATTTATCAAATAAAATCTTCCTCACCTCATCATGACGAGAGCTGAAGTTCTGCTGGGGCTTCGCTGAAACTTCAACAAGTTTATGTTTACTAAACGTAGAAGACTCATAATGAGGTTGGATGTGTTTCTCACAAAACGAGGCTAAGCAGACCAGACAGGACTTGACAGCTTTCCTCTTCCTCCCGCTGCAGACATCACAGGCCACGTCTTCAGGTCCCGCATAGAAGTGACCAGCCGGAGCTGCTTGGAGTCCAATCTTCTTCAGATCCTCCACCAACTCTGCTAACACAATGTTTTTCACCAGGCCAGGCCTCGTTGGGAACTTTTTCCTGCACTGAGGGCAGCTGTAGACTCCTTTTCGATCCTCCCGATCCCAGCAAGATCTGATGCAGTTCATACAGTAGCTGTGTCCACAGGGGATAGTAGCCGGACTCTTCAGGAGATCCAAACAGATACAGCAAGTTAATTTAGCAGAATCCATCTGATCTTTCTGCTGCAGCGTTCCAGTAATACTGGGTGACTCTTCCTTTAGGGAAATGAGCATGTAACACGAACCTTTGCTGGAGCTGCAATCAGCCACTCCCATCTGTTTACCTGACAGATGGGAGTGGCTTTTACTGCTGTTATTGGTATTCTAGAGGACAGAGGTTGTTGTTGTTGCAGAGTGAACTCCATGATAAGGTAGTGCTTACTGAAGAGGTATTGATGGAAAATTACACACCTGATGCTTTAAAATCATTATGATACATCCATCTGTTTAATTTCATTTTAGTCATTGTGTTATAATTGGGGCCCTGCGACAGACTGGCGACCTGTCCAGGGTGTACCCCGCCTCTCGCCCGGAACGTTGGCTGGAGATAGGCACCAGCACACTTTTTCTCTGAGTAAAGATTAAAGCGTACATTACAACGTCTAACAGCATTTTTCTGCATGTATTCAAAGAACAGCCATTCAGTTGTGTTTTATGTATTTATTGCAATAATCATCATCAAGAAAGTGTAAAAGTGACATTATTATTCATGGTGATCAAATGCATAACATAGAAAATATATACCCAGAAACAACAGAGGAACACAAGGATAAAAATATTTATCTGTTTATATTGAGCAATTCTACCACAATTTTCTTTAACGTTTTGATTTGTGAGTCATGTTTTCAGGTTAATGAATACAAAAATTGATATACTGTTCTGCTTCTGAAGTCTTGTGAATCTTTTTAATAAAAACAAAAAACTTTTCACTCAACATCAACTTGGTAGATTTCAGTTTTAAATATCAAGCTTGTAGTGTCTGACTGAACGCAGTCTGAAGATTTCAGTTGAACCCAAATATATCAGAATTTTTCACCCAGTAAAGTTAAGCAATTTTCTGATCTTGTTGATTCATTCCTACAATCAGTTTAATTGAGAATCTTATATTTGTCCAGTAAAATAAAGACTGTCCTGACTGATGATGATAATTATACTTCTAATTACAGTTCATCTACACATGGATCTGAACAACATTTGATCTGACAAAGCAATAAATGTAAATGTAATTATTTTAGGAAAATCAAAGTCATCCTCAGCAGTGATAGCCTCCGTGGCTGAACAGAATCAGGAAGAGGCAGTACACAAAGCACTCCAACATCAATAAAACAACAAACAGGAAGACAAAATAGACTCATAAATACAGCAGAGGGCTTTAACTGAGATAGCAGATTAATCCAGGAATTTCCAGATATCATGGCTTAATTAAAAGGCCTTTTTATTAGACAAATGGGCCACAAAGAAACAAATATATTGTAATCAAGTCATAACATATTTGTAGTGGCATACTTTACATATTTCATTGATTAATTTTAACTCAACCTAAAATAAACTGTAGTAAATTAGCTTTAGTTCTGGCATATCACACAATATTTAAAAGCAGTACTTATTTACATCATAAAGATAGACTCCTTCAGTCCATCAAGAGGGCTGCTAATATGATGCATTTTATATACTCCGTTACAACTTCTGTCTTTTGATTGCTATTAAGTAGCCTTTACACTAATAGCTAAACAAGAAATTGTCCATTCAAAACAAAAGCATAACAATTCAAACATGAAGTTGACAATAAGTAAAAGTAACTAAAAGTTATTCAGGTCTTATACCTTGTCAGATATTAGTTATTAGTTAACTAATGCACATAATTAGTTATGTGCATTAGTTTGCACATTGTAGTCAATATTTTGTCCACATAGTTCCCAGATACTGCAAATGTTCTTATATTTAATCTTGACTTGTTATTATGTTTGTTCTGTATAAATATTGATAAGATGTAGAACAAAAAAGAGTAACTGTCGTAAGGGTGGTGGTGAGGAGAAACGCAGAGACCCAGGTTAAGTTGAAGATGAAGATGATTTTAATAATAATGGTCACAGCAGTCCAAGACGGGCGGCACGGCGGAGAAGTTAGCACACAGCTAAAGACCGGTAGCAACTGAATACAAAGACTGAAAACACTTGAGCTAACGCCGACCAGGACTTAATCAGTACAACTGAGACGACGGACAGACGGACGTAGACAAAGACGTACGTTTGACATACGTTAGAAAAGGACCCGACGAAGAACACAGACAACAGGTGGGACAAAATACACACAGGGGTAATCAAGGGAACGAGACACACCTGGGAACAATCAACGGGGAAGACGCAGAGACAGAGACACACAGGGAACAGGACCACACAGAAAAAACTCAAAATAAACACATAGAAACACGGATCATCACAGTAACATTATTGAATCTACTGTTAGATTCACACGTTATAATGTTGACTTCCACGGTTGACTTAAAGTCACTTGAGCAAATGACAGATATGATTGACATTTTATAGTTAAGAATAGTTGAGAAAGTATATTTTGGGCTAATTATGAATTTAATCAATCCGTTATTGTTTGATAAAGTAGCAGCAGTGTTTTTTTCTTTATTATGGTGTGCTTCAGTTCCTCATAATCCTCATAATTCTCAATCAAAAGCAGTTGTTCATCTAGTGTGAGATATGACATGCAATTTATCTAGTGTGGCATCAATGAATCGGATTGATCTCATTGGTCTGCTGAAGAAATCTGTTCACCTGTATTACTTAAGCCTGGCTCGACGTAGTTGCACGTTCTGAATGTAGCTTAGTCTTTGTGAAACGGATAAAACCAGGATGAACTGATGGCGCTATGTCAAACCTGGTTCTATCTCTTACCCTGGATTTCGTAATCCCACTTTGTGAAACAGCGCTCTGATCTCTGAGCAGTGAAGCAATGACAACAATTAACTCTCTAAAGAAACTGAAACTAAAATAAATATTTTAAACAACTGAACCTCAGATCATTGTTGACTCTAGTTTTAATGAACTTAGTAGAGTCTCCATAAAAGTAAGGCCAAACCCAAATAAGTAATGTTCGAGTGAATCTGGTCTGGACTCTGTGGAAGATAGTCATCGTTTCAGAGAAGCTGTAGAAACATAATACCTGGTGGACCTTATACAACAGTGTTGACAAAGTTGTTACATACTTCGAAACTTTCTACATGACAACATAGTGCTAAGATTTGAAAATGTACATTCCTCAGACTTTCCCTCTTTGCTGCTTTTCTTGTATAAATAACTTCTTCTCTCCACTCCATCTCCCTGTAACAATGTACAGTAAGATGGTCTCTGCTCAGAACCTGATAATAATCAATAAATCTAGGTCAATAGAAAATGACGGTTCTTCCAATGAAGCCACTTTTCTATTCCCCTCAGATAATAAAATAAATATGTTTGGTGTTGTGATTTCTATTTTAATTTCTTGAATTCAGCAGTGGATCCATAACATGGCTGAATCCCAGCATGTAGAGGCTGAGTGAATCTGGTCTGGACTCTGTGGAGGAGAGTCATGGTACCAGAGACGCTGTAGAAAGACAGAATACCTGCTCTGTGGTCCAGGTACACTCCTATTCTGGAGGAAACTGGACCTGGTACTGGAGTTTTAACTCCACTGTTATAAAAAGTGTAACTTTCTGTGTCACAGCGTAATGACCAGGACTTGTCATTAAATCCAAATAAACATTCCTTTGACCGTCCTGCTCTGCTGATATTATTGTATGAAACTGCAACATTAACTCCTTCCCCTCTCCACTCCACCTCCCAGTAACAACGTCCAGTCAGACTCTCTTTGCTCAGGACCTGATCACTATTAGTGAATCTGTCTGGATGATCAGGATAAGACTGTTGTTGTTCCATTAATGTTGCTTTTCTATTTCCTTGAGATAATACCAGCTTCCTATTTGCTGTGTTTGGATCCAGAGTGATTTCTTGTAAATATTTTAAAAACCCAGCTTTGTTCTTTGGTTCTAATTCTGATTTTGGTTGTAAAACATCGACCACAGGGATCATCAGTTCGATGTTTGTCCATATGTCTCTCAGGATGTCCTGTAGTTTGTCTCTGAGCTCTGACACAGCTGCTGTCACGTCCTCAAAGTGTCTCAGAGGACGGATGTTGATGCTGGATGAGTGTGTCGACTCACTGAGTGCTGGCAGTGAGGGGAAGTTGAGGAGAAACTGGTTGTGATCCTCTGTGTGTGAGAGCTGCTCCAGCTCAGCGTCTTTCCTCTTCAGCTCAGTGATCTCCTGCTCCAGCTTCTCCTGAACATCTTTGACTCGACTCACCTTAGTTTCCTGCTGGGATCTGATCTGCTGCTTCACATCAGAGCTTCTTTCCTGGAGGAGACGGATCAGCTCAGTGAAGATCTTCTCACTGTCCTCCACTGTTTTATCAGCAGAGCGATTGATGGCCTCCACCTCCTGCTGAAGCAGCTTCACATCTTTCTCCTGGTCCTGGATTCTCTGCTGGATGTTTCCTCGTCTCTCCTCCAGCTCTCTCTGCCTCTCAGTCCTTTCTGCTGCAGCTGACACTGTTTCATGTTCTTTATGTTCATCCATAGTGCAGAGATAACAGATACACTTCTGATCAGTGCGGCAGAACATCTTCATCACCTCATCATGCTTAGAGCAGATGTTCTCCTGCAGGTTCTTGGACGGCTCCACCAGCTTGTGTTTCTTTAAAGGAGCCACTTCATAATGAGGCTGAAGGTGTTTCTCACAGTAGGAGGCCAGACAGACTAAACAGGACTTGATGGCTTTCAGTTTTCTTCCAGTGCAGGAATCACAGGCCACATCT